TTTTTTTTCTTTTGTGGAGTTAAATGAGAAAGTGCTTATCCTCTGGGATTTCAGTGTTTCAATCTTCAATCACAGTTTTAATGATGCTTAGATTGTGGGGGTATTTTTTCCCAACATTAGGGTCATGCTTGTCCTTCTTAGAGCATTAGGGGCAAGGTGAATTTACTTGCTGTCATGCTTGTAAGATTGGTGTGAGTTGCTTTTGTGTACTTTCTGGTGAATAACCACCATTTATTGTTCTTTAGCCTTTTCTTCTGAGAGCTACAAAGCAACTGGCAACAAATTTTCTTTTTGGCTCTTACAGACTCTCTGACTGCAGGTGTGCAGTGGGACTGGGCATTGTACAAATGTTTGCTGCCACTTGGCCAGGACAGGTAGCTGGATCTTAGTAGTATATTAGAAGTTACCAGGTGGATAGCTTTTTTTCTGTTCTTGTTTTAAAAAAAGAAGGCAAAAAGGTGCAAGTAAAATTGAGTAATGACATAGGTTGATGGAGTCTTGCTTGTAGGAGGTAAAGATTGTTGTCTTTCTCATGCTTTCTAGCTGTGGGAAGATGAGGATGCTGTAGATAAGGCATGTGGTGGAGGGGCAGGTAGGGCTGGGGACGGGGGCAGTGGAGGGGCAGGCAGGGCAGGCCGGGCGCTGCGGCCGGAGCTGTCCCTTCAGCACCGCCGGGTTTGCGGGCCCGCGGGAACCGCTTGCTCAACGTGCCATTAACGCTTTCTGAATCCCTGGAATGCCCGAGGGAAAGACTGGTGGCGAATCCCACCGGAATGTTGTGTGTCGGGAGTTCGGAGGATGGTCTGTCGATCTTGCTTTGTGGCTTATGTGTTTGTTTGTTTTCAGTCTTTTAATTGACCTTGTCCCTAGAAGGAGATTAAGTGAGCATTTTACCTTCTACTGACTGAAGGTGATGGGACTTAGCATCTGATTTCTTTAGGTATTTTATCAGTGAGAATTACTAGAGAAGCTCCTTTTCTATTATGCTCAGTGTCAGGATAGTCTCTTTTCTGTAGTTATTATCATTGCAGTCTTGTTCTAAAATGTCATTGTATCTGGTTAGAATTTACTCCTTCATCTTTTCTAGTAATCTGTATCTCATGAGCATTTGCATGCCAAGGCTGCTGCTGTAGGAGTGAAACCTTGTTTGTTGTGTAAATACTTGTAGTTCAATGTGTTACAAAAAAGGTGTACTCACAGCAACAGACAGATATATTATTTTTGTGTTCTGGCCTTTCCTCCTTTCTGAAGACTTTCATGATCAGTTTGCTGTCTTGTTTTCCTTTAATCTTTTGTTCACAGAACACTAGGAAAAAGAGAGAACACAGACAACATTACTGCACTGTCTAAGGATTTGGATTTATTTGCTGTACTGTATAGAAAGTTTAATTATATTCCTAGATGTAGTCAACTTGTAGGTCAACTCATAGGTTTGACTGACTTATTTTTTTAAGTCAGACTTTTAAAAAAAAAGTTAATGGAAGATAGAGCTTAATAAAAACAACAACAGAAAACCAAACAAAACTGCCTGCAGTTGTGCCCAGCAGAGTTCATATTAACTCTATTCAGTTTTATGACAACATCTTACAGGCATAGGAAAGACATTTGATTGGAATAATTGAAATACTTAAGCTCCCTTGACTTACATGACCGCCTAATTTCTTTTGAAAGCAGTGGAGAGGTTCATGTTTACAATCAATAAATACAAAAGTCAGTAACATAGCATGATACTCTGAATTAATAACTACATCAAGTAAGTCCATTACAGACTGAACTTCTTTTCTGCTAGACAAAGCAAGGGAGCCATGTCAGGTTTGGCACTTCAAAATGCAGGAGAGTATTAAAAGTCTTGGTGACTTTCTGCAGAAAGTCTACCCCTATAAATTCAGCCATTTCAGCATGTTTTGGTCAGTATGTGTTTTCCATTCTACATCAGTCAGTATGAGGTTCTTTTGGCCATCTGTGAGTATAAACTATATTTAGGGTTCAGTTGTACAGGATACATTTTCTCAAACCTTTTGCTCCAGATGCAGTTTCTATGCTGAATTAAGACATCTGCACCTGTAGATTTTTATTATACAGCATCAAATAGCCACTAGTTACTGTGGCAGACTGTAAAATACAGCTGTGAATGTATGGGAAGGAAAACTTATGAATCTGTTACTTAATGTAATGTCTGTACTAAAAATGCATTATGCATTAATAAAAAATGGCTTTTTATTGCTGGCTCTGTGTGCTCACTATGTGGTCTGACCCATCTGCTGTTGGTAGTGTCAGAATTGGTTAGCAGATCTCTTGTGGGGAGCAAATCTGCAAAGCTCGTAGAGGTGGGGAAGAATAAGCATGATTTGGGAAGGACTAAAAGATAATTAGCCACAGTTGAACATGTCTTATTGCAGGAACAAATGCATTTTATTTGGAATTTTAGCTGTATTACACTAAGCACTGTAGTGAAGATTAGTCTGTGGGTGTGTTTTTTTCTGTTTTGGAATGTCATACTGTCATTGAGGTCAGGAAATGAGGTTTTATCCTTAAGGGGGTTTCAGTTTTATAAGTGTTTAAGTGTGTTAAGAGAAGGCTATTTTATTAAGTGTGTCATTTGCTACCGTTAGGTCAAATTCATCACCATTCACTGTGAGTACTTCATACAGGTTTTGTAATACTGCAGGATCTGTTTTGCTACACTATTTGGCAATGAAAGATTGTCAGAAGGGACTGCTGCTTTCATTTGTCTTGTTGTGGGGTGAAAATGGGTCCTTCCTCCAAGGGTAAGGGTGAGTTGGGCAACATGGACCTTCAGCTGATGTATGGACTGCACGGTTGCAAAATGTTTACATTTTTTTCTTTCCTCTTTCCC